TATGTCAAATAATATTGATAATAATACAATTGCTATTGGCGATTCTTCAATTAATAAAAAATCTAATTCTGGTGGTCGGCCTCGAGAAGATATATGGAATGATTATAATGTCGATGAAAAACATGGAAAATACTATCCTGTTTGCTGCAAATATTGTTCTAAGCAGTGGCAAAGAGGAGTACCACATATTATGAAATCACATTTGGCCAATGAATGTTCTAATTGTCCATCATACAAACAAAAATATTGGCAAGAAAAAATTAGTGATAAAGATAATAATTATCAAAGAACTTCGAAGACAAAACATCACAAATCAATGCATCTAGTTGATACAAATAATTCTGAGTCACTTTCTATAAATCATCAGAATTCACTTGACCATGCTGTATTAAAAGCTTGGGTTGGATGCAGCATACCATTTGAAGTTATTGATAACCCGTTTATGCAAGACTTATTTATGCAACTTAATCCTGCATACCACCCACCTGGACGTATGACATTATCTGATCGAATTCTTGAAAAAGAAACAGCAAAAGTGAATAAGGAAATTTCTATGATTTTCAAAAAAAATGACTATTTAACCTTAAGTAAGTAAAATGAATTATTTTATAAAAATAAAATATATTTATTAATTTATTTTTTTTTAGGTTTAGATGGATGGTCTTCTCCTCAAGCTTCGTCTATATATAATTATATTATTACAACAGTTGATCATAAAGAATACCTTATAGTATTAAAAGATTATTCTAATACATCAAATACTGTAGAATTTTTAGCATCTGAAATAAGTACAATAATTACATCAACTGGACTTGAAAAATTCTCTGCAATTGTAACCGATTCTGGAAGTAATTGCAAAGTTGCACATAGAATCACGAATTATAATTATCCACATATTTTAGACATAAGATGTGTCGCTCATTTAATTAATTTAATTGCAAAAGATTTTACTAAAATTGATTGTGTCAAAACATTTATAGAAACTTGTGGACATATAACAAGATTTTTTAATAAATCACATTTACCTAATCGATTAATTGAAAATGGAATTTGTACAATGAATATTAAAGGTGGCAGATTGCATAATTATACAAAAACAAGATGGTGTTCTTTATAGAATTTGACGGATTCACTATTGTGTTTAAGACCAGTATTTAACTGAGTAATTTAATAATCTATACATATGCAATTCATATAATATTTTTAAATTATTAATTTTTTTTTTTTTTTTTAGATTCGAACGAATTATGAAAATAGTTTAATGAATGAATTTGTAAAAAATACGATTAGTAATGATAATTTTTTTACAAATTGTTATTTTATTAATCAAGTTATACAACCGATTAAAATATGTATTGAAAGACTTGAAGCCCAAACTGCAACATTGCAGATTGCTATATTAATATATTAAAATTAGCTGTGACAATTTATCAACTTCTAGAAATAAATTCATTTAAATTACAAATAATAAACATTTATAATGTTCGATATGAAGAACTTAATCATGAAGCATATCTTCTAAGTTATTATTTACATCCATCATATTGTGGTAAGCAAATTTATTAAGTTTATAAATTACATATATTAGAATTTTTATTAATATATTTAATTATTAGAATACGGTTTTAAAAATCATACATTTTGTCTAGTATGTCTTATAGCTAGTAATTATTGGAAATCTCTTGGACATGATGAAGCTGATTGTATTGATTTATTGGTTAAATTTTGTAAATTTGTTCGTAATGAAGAACCCTATAATGTAATATTTGATCCCCAAAAAGAATCACCACTTAAATGATAGTTATCGCATAATATAAACTATCATATAAGTCTGGAAGATTTGGCTATTAAAATGTTTTCTATTGTGTCATCTCAAGTGGCATGTGAACAAAATTTTTCCATCTTAAAATAGTTTTATAGAGATCGAAGAAATCAGCTAACAATTAAGCATATTGAATCGATGGCTAAACTAAGAATGTATTGGCTTTCAGAAATACAAAAAGAACTTGAATATTATGGAAAAGATTTAACAGAAGAAGAATTACAAGAATGTGCTAATATGATGACAATTCCAATTGATTTATCTTCAGAAGCTGATAGCACAAATGACATATTTGATAGTAATGAGTCTTGTATTATGAATCAAGATACTCTTATTTCTGCTTTTACTTCAAATGTAAACACATTTATGGAATCTGAAACAAAGCTTAATATCGAAAATCTAGCAGATCTTACTTTATTATTTTTTAATTTTAATATCACAGAATCGTATAGTAAAGAATTTAGACCGCAACATAAACAAACATCAAGCAAAGGTCATGAAAATATGGACTTCAAAGCATCGAATATTGTTGATGAGGTCTTAGAAATTGAAAATGACAATAATTAGCTTTTAAAAACTATTTAATTAAATGTTAACTGCTAATATATATTAATTAAAGAAATAATGCACAATAAATTTCTTATTTCTTAATTTACGATTTGCATGTACAGTATGTTACTAAATAAAAGCTACAAAAAAATAAAAAATTTTCAGGCTAAAGTGAGAAGGTAGCCTCTATTCAGAACTAATTTTACTATAATCATTTTCGAATTTTTTAGGTACAAAATCGCAGTAGATTTTATTTAGGTAGCTTTTATTCGATAATATACTTTGTATATAAGTTTTATCAATTTATATATTGATAGTTTTCACAGTTTTCACAGTTTAGCCAAAGCTTTAAAAATATAAATAGTATTAACCTATTACATAGATAATTTATACTTTTGTCAAGTTTTATTATGAGTATTGATGGCATCACTAATTGGAACTATAATGAGCTTAAAGAATATTTGTTGTCTTGTGTTGTGGTTTTTTTTTTAGATTTGCAGTAGTAGAATTAATACAGTCATCCTCCTTTTAGTCATCTTCTATATAATCACACCCTCTTTATAAGCACCATTTTTTGAAAAAATTATTGGCAATATATTTATCAAAAAAACTTTATATAAACATTTTACTATTAAAGTTTTTATAGTCCTATTTTTTTTATGTAAAACAATCAGTGTGATTATAGAGGAACCTTGAAACAAAAGGTCTAAGTAAAGATATAAGTGTAAATTTTATTAATGACATTACTGTGAATTTGTGGAATTGTCCCAAATTAAAAACCTTGAATTACCATTTGGTTATTACAATTGTTACACATCAACCACATGATGCATCTATTAACCTAAACTTCAAATCTGATATCAATATCGAGTCAAACCCTATCTTATTATAAAATCTGTTCATAGTACATCTCTTAAATACCGTAAATCGCCATATAAAAGATCCCCTCTGATAGTAGATCCTCTAGGTATTATATCTGGTTTTATTATGCAGGTTAAAAATTTGGTAATGCATAAAAGACCCAGGTCTATAAATATATTATAAATATTAAAAGACTTGGATATATAGAATGTGTGTAAATATTAAAAGACCCTGGTATAATATTTAGAATATATATACTATTTGATAAACAAAAAATAAAATTCTTTGATATACACAGGTAAAATAATAAACCTTTTTTACAAGTATTCTTTTAAAAATCTTTGGTGTGATATGCAACTTTTACAAATATTTTCTATCGATCATAAGATCAAAAGTAACATGTATCAAAGAAATAGAGACATTTTAATAAAAACGTTTGTAACTCATAATTTTGCTTATGAACTACTTTTTGTGTTCTAACAAAAAAAAAAAAATTTCTTGCAAAATTTTGAGGTAGAGATGGTCTTTTGTTATCACTATCTTAACTTTATTTATTCTAAATTATTATTATATTATCAGTTTAAATCTCATGTTACACCTAATCTTATAGGATGCATTATAAAATTCTGTTTAGAATACCATAATAAAAGCTGCACATTACACTATAAGTTCTATATATGTATGTATAAAAATTTTTAAAGAAAAGGTAATATCTAGCAAAGGTTTTCTATGTATTATAACAGATTTAGAAAATGGTTATAATTCTACTGTGTATACAATATAATGCTATATGATAAATTTATGTATTTTCTCAATGCCAGTATTGTACATTTTAGGCATTAAAGCTTTTTGAAATTCAATTCTGAATAGTTTTAATTAAGGGTAGATTATTATAATACAATTTTATATTATTCAGTGTTAAATTTTGTCCAAATGTTGTTAGAATTGTCCAGATGATAACAGTGCTCAATGCTAATGCATTTCCAGTTCAAAATTTAATAAACTATCTAAATCTGCAAATAATCCTTCATATAAGTTTCTTCATATCCCATAATTATAGTATATAGAGTTCCATTTGTTTGTTCAATGCAAATAAATAATTTGGAAAATTATATCTACAATTATACAATAGACTCCATTTCTTAATACCTAAAATTAGCAAGTTCAATTTCTAATGCTTTATTTAAATTGAATTTATATATGCTTATCATATGATAAGTTATTCTATTTATTTATAGCAGTAACTAAAATCTTTAGAAACTTTTCATATTTGCTTACCATGAAACAAATTACTAATGAATGTACTAGCACAAATTTGATTATTTATATATTAGTTTAATACAATATTTCTATGATTAAGATCTATATCTCTAAAAGTATAAGCTAAAAAGTCTTATTTCCATGAATTAGCATATTTATTCATCTCGATATCATAATATATATCTTCATTACAATCTTGATGATTATTTTAAGCCTCTGAATTATTAACCTAATTATAATTAAACATTAAATCTTCTTTGATCTTATTTTAAGTAATAAAAATAGTATAACACTTGAACAAATGTTTAATAAAAGTGAAATTAACTTGGTTTCATACTCTTGATACCTATTCTGTTACCAAATTATAAGCAGATTGTTGAATATGATCTGTACAGATTAGTTTTTTAATTTCTTCTCCTATTTAATCAAAATAGAATTTGTGATACTTAAATAAATTAAAGAATTAAGTTTATGAAATAATTGTATAAATTCAAAAATACTGTTAACCTATTCTTAAAAAAATTATTTTAATTTATAAGATATGAAAATTTTAGTTTTTTTTTAAAAAAAAATATGTATCTAATAAAGCAAAATCAAATCTGCATAGAACTTTATTATGTAATCTTTTTTTTTTTTGCCTTAAGCAGTTATGCTAGTACATTATTAAGATTCTTAAAACTAAATACATATATAATTATAGAGAATTTTCTAATATCTAAGTTTAGCATCACTCAGTTATCCTAACAATACCTAAGTGCAACCTGTTGTACTATCTCAGTTAGAAATAAACTGCTCATCTAACTACTTAAAGCCATACCAAAAAGGTCTTTCCTCTTCCATGACAAGCATATTAATTGTCTTTCAAGCTTTTTTTTTTCTTCATTTTGTTTTTTTTATTTCTTCTTTTTTTTTTTTTTTTCTTTTTCTTTTTTTTTTATTCTTTTGTCTTTTCTTTTTGCTACATTCTTTTTTATCTGAATACCTTTTTTCATTTTACTTATTATATTAACTTCTTTTTCATATTTTTGTATCTTTTCATATCAGATTCTCTATATTTGATTATAAAAAATATTCTATACTGTTCTTGTTACTATATTAAGATATTTTTTACTGTTTGCTTACTTAGCAGCTTATTGAGTCTCTTCCTTACTTCTACTGTAGTTAATCCTTTTATTAGCATCTTTTTATTCATAACTTCTTCTGCTTCTGTTTTTTCAAATAATATTTTGTATAATATTTGTACTGAAATTCTAGTTTTTTCCTCTTCTTTGAGCCTATTTCATGTTATTGCTATTGAAACTTTTTGTATTCATTTTTACAAACTTTTTTTGTTTATTACAGCTTGCTAAATGTTCTTGAATTTTGTCTTTATCACTTTGACAAACTTGACATTCTGGTCTTCTTTTATTTAGCTCTACTAATATTGATAAATTATTTATTATATACTTGATCACTGTAGCTCTTCTGGTGCTTAATTTTCTTAAGATACAATATACTTCTTTTATTCTATTCATCTTCTTTCAAAAACTTAACCAGTTGTAAAGTATGTGTTCTGTTTCTGATTTCAGAGTTCTAATTAGCTTTGTATCTCTCCAATTGGTTCCTATTCTGGTGTTTGCAATTATTTCACAAAACAGTCTCACAGATATATTTATCTTTTTGTTTCCTTATTCTAGTTGATATTCTATTTTTTCATACTTAAGTTTTTCTATCTGAATTATTTCTTTGCAGCTTGCTTCTTTTTTTGCTAACAGATCTATTCTGTCATTCCATTTGTCTTCACTGTAGCTTTTAACTTTGATTAATTCTATATTAGCATTTTTCTTTTTGACTAGCTTAGTAATATTTAATATTCACATTGTGTTTTTCTTTTTCAGAATTTCTTCATCTTTTGTATTTTATAATGTTTTACTAATGTTTTTTATTGTTATATTGTTATCTGTATAAATTTCTATATTTTTTCTTTCAAGTACTATTAGGATTGCTGTTCATATTGCTACTAGCTTTGCTAATATCACTAATGGCCATTCTTCTAGGGCTAATGCCACTTCTTCTTTTGACCAGTTGGCTTTTTCTTTTATTTGTATCTATCTTATACCTATTCTTTTTATATTGTTTCTTTCATCTTTTTTGTATAATGCTCTATCTGTATAAAAAACATATCTTTCTTTGTTTCTTTCTTTGTTTCTTGTTATGATTTTTATTAGTCATTCTATAAGCATATTATCTAATTCTTGCTTTCTTATTATTTCTATCTCTACCTCTTCTACTTGTTTAAGTCTAACTAATTCTCTTTCCTCATTTTTTTATTTCTTTATTGTTCTATTTTCTTTTAATTAATCTATTGTCATATTGATTCTGTTGTTATTTTTTTTTATTATTGATTCTAAAATGACTTTTATGTTGTAATCTAGTTAGATCTATTTTTTACATCTATCTATTATCTGTGTTTGTATATTTTCATAGTCTTTGCACTTGCTTATTTCTGTAGATGTTTTCTTCTTTTTTTCATGCATTAACCAATACTTAATTAAAATTTTTTTTTCTTTTTCTTAGTTATTTTGCCTAGTTGTTAATTGTTTTTTGACCTATACATAATCTATTTTCTTTTTCTTTTGTCTTCTAACATTTTTGTCTATATGATTTTTAATGCTTGTATATTATAATTGTTTACTTTGTATTGATTATATACTTCTCTGTTGTTTGTATTATTAATATCTTTTCCTTAATTTCACTAAACTATTTTGACTTTTTCTCTTTACATGACCTTTCTTGAAGACTTTTGAGTTGTTTCTATATAATCAGCTTTTTGCCTTTTATATCTATTAGCTGATTCAAATATATTAATCCTAACTATTTATTTTAGTGCTATTTGCTTTCCATGTTTTTGCTTCTAT